TAATGTATGTAAAAATTATCAGGGTGAAATCCTGACCCCATCGGAGTTAATGAGAGTTTTACTCTAAGTCAAAGATAAAATGGAAAACTTTTATACAATACAAAATGATAAACAATAACACAAATAAAAACATGAAAGATGAAAATAACAGTATATAGGAAAGAAAACAATGTTACAAGATGCTAGATATGTGTATCTAAGGTTATAGAAAAAATGTGATGAACTAGTGTATTTGAGAAATTAGTATGTGATTGTGTAGTCAAAGTCTGTAACTTAGGTTATGTCTACACTTGCGAGCATTCATAGGTAGTTGTCGATGTACTACTAGTGCATGGACCGCGTGTCCACATATGCTGTTCTCGGCATGGGTGCACATGTATACCCTCGTCCACACTTCCCCTTGTGGGTTTGCCATGTTAGTGCTGCCATTTCAGGGACAATATCCCAGAGTATTGTGCATAACAGGAGACACTCTACGAATTCCCTTGCTGTGTATTGCTGGAACTGTCTCCTGCCTTCAAACATTTTGTGATGGCAGGTCCCACTCACCTCTCCCTTCTGCTGGAAAACCAGGAGCAAGTCCTGGCTGATGTGGTTCTTCTGCTGCTACTTGTCATGGGAAAAATGTTCATGAGGTGCAGTACCAAATTCACTAGATACTTGATGGAATCAGGCCAGAGCTTTCTGACACACCGAAGATGGCTGACCAAGAAGGTGAGTGATAATTCACGGTAGTCCCATAGAACAAATATTGTCACTGACAGTAGTGCCACAGTATGCCCAATTTCCAATCCAGGAGAATCAGTGTGGTGGGAGCACATTGTTTTGAAAACTTTGGATAATGACTACTGGCTTCAAAACTTCCAAATGAGGATCCAGGCCTTCATGGACCTGTGCAAGGAGCTTACACCCACTCTCCAGTGCTGGACCACTTGTTTTCAGAAACCCATATGTATGCAGAAACGATTGGCTATTGCCTTTGGAAGCTAGCAACATCTGACAGCTATCAGTTGCAAACCAGGATGAGGTTGGGGAGTCCACTCTTGGGGTGATGGTTATACAGGTTTGCCAGGCAATCAGTACTGTCATCTATCCACAGGTTGTTGCCATAAGCCATGTAGCAGAAATTATAGCTGGTTTTCTCAAAAAAGAGCAGCAACCAAGGTAGCAGGCAGGTCCTGAATGCATTCCACTGCCAGTTGAATGAGTGATTGTATTAGGGAATGAGCCAATTCTTTTTGGGCATACTCCCATTCCCCATGGCATGCATCCTGCTCCAGGAACTGGTTCATCAGTGCCTCCTGCCTAAGAACCTAATCCTTCTGTGCCTTGAGGAACTCAAATTGTGCTTGGTTCTTTCTGTCCATGGCCATAAGCAAGTCCTTCTCTGTCTGCCTCTGCTGTCTCTGGAGTGCTGCTTCTGCCCTCCTTGTAGAATGGTTTCCTTCTTTGCAGCAGAAGATCCTGCCAATTCAAACACAAGGGTACCATTATACTACCCTTTTCCTTTGAAGGAAGGTAAAAAATCCCCACACATAACATAGCTGTGCTGCCGATGGCCACAATATTGATAATTTTAACATTTCAGAAAATGCGACTTCTGATGCCTTCTTCGTTGTCAGGCAACTTTTGCAGCCCCCGAGGAAGGAGCAGAGGTTAATAATGGTAAAATACCTGTAGTAATGTTTTTAAAAAATTATAATGCTTGCACTGTATTAAGGGGCCAGTATGGTTATGGTTTCAGGGGCTAGGTTACCAGTTACCAATTTATTTCTTAAAGGTGGCCCATCATTTGGAGAACATAGCCATTTTCAAGGTACTAGAATGGAAAAGAGGGTTGGCTTTCCAGTCCTGTTGGGGAGAGCTGGCAGTCCATCCCAGAGAGATATTTCTGGTAATGGTCACCCCTCTACATATTGCTGAATGAAGGTGGACTAAGCATATTTGCACTGCTGTTGAACCTGAAGAACCAGTTTGAATTTCTGCTACACCAAAAAATTGCTGAAATATGCTTACAGGACTGGGATGCAATTCAAGAGGAAATTTATTGTATTCTAAGCTAGCAGATGGAGTTCTCATGGAAAAGGAAAAGCAAACCACTAAGAATCCCCACCACCCCCTAACCTTCCCCACCCTGCATTGCCAGAAAGTCTGGCCCCTGTGTCCAGCCAAGAGCAGGGGGAGGGACAGGGAAAGAAAGAGTCACACCGAAACTTTATTTTGTTCCCTGAACTTTCCAGTAAACATGGAAAGCCACTCTCCAGTGCAAAGGGGCATGGCCCTGTGTTTGTGCAACCACCAAAGCTGATCCTCGATCCACCCCCATTTCTTCCAGCTTCTGCGGCATGGCTCAAAGCAGAGAGTATCCAGGCACCAGGAACTGCAAATGGTAAAAGACATTTCTAATGTTCACATGGAGAAAGGACTGCTGTGATGTTCCTCAGACAACCAAAGGGTTCATTTACCTAACCAATTCACCCCTTCCCACACCAGCCTTCTGCACATTTCCCTTTGTAAAGGGACAGGAAGGCAAGGGGAAGGGGAGGGTGGGTTGCTGTTTTTTTAATTTTTGAATAAGCATACATTTTCTACAACTGTCCTATCCCAATGGGCTCTTTCCAAACCCAGATCTTTCCTCCCTTTCACCTGGTCCACGTGGCTCAGGACTATCGCTGACAGCATGCTGGCTGAGAAATGCACAGACACGGAGGCATAATGACAGTTTATTAATAATCTTTGGTATAGCTTCAGCTAAATTTGTAGGAGTGGTTAATGGAATTTCAATAAAATCATTGCTTTATTGCCCTGTCTTGCTTTCAGGGTGGCGCACTGTGGGGACTGGGTTTCAGATATATAGCACCAGACCAAGAGGAGATATTGGCAGGGAGGGTGAGGGTCCATTGTAAAACTTACCAGCCTTGGATTCTGATTCCTCCTGCAGCTTGGGGTCCTCCTTTGGCTCTTTGGCTTGGGGAATGGGGTTTGCTCTACTGGCTCTGCTAGAGAAAGGTTTAAAATCACTTGATCCTCTTCTTCTGGGTCTCCTAGGCTTCCTCTGGCACTTGCTCTGAGGTCCCTGCTGCCTCCTCACCCTGGGAGTTGTGAGCCATTTCAGGCTCTGTACTAGGAGCCCTGGAGAGTATCTGGTCCAACATGGATGTGCACAAGGGTCCCTCCTCGAGTGACTGTTCGAGTCCTTCACCTTCTAGTACAGGAGCCTCAGGAATGGAGTCTAGTAAATACTCACCTCCTCCAGCCTCCGTGAAATTTTCCGGTACAGGGGAATCTTCTAGCTGCTCCAGATGAAGTTGTGGAGTATGTTATACTCCGACCACACTTTGATGAGCACCTGGATGTGCTTGGTGGACCAGGCAGCTGCTCTGGGAACATGGTCTATGTTAACAGAGGGCCCCGAACCTTTATACATTGAGTAAGGGTTAGGCAGGAAAGGCTTCAATGCATTAGGGGAATGGGCCTGGAGGACTACTGAAACTTGGGACCTGTAACACATCCCTTACACTCATCCACACTGTAGTGTAGCAGGAATATGGGACCATGCCACTGAGGAGGCATATGCATACCCACACCCTTCATGTGTGCTAGCTTTCTCACACATGATTCAAGAGTTCAGATGTGGATAACGGAGGGGTTATGGCACAACAGTGCACATGTAGGTATGTAAGTCGCAAGTGTAGACATAGCCTCCATGTATATGTGTAATACACACACCTCCTATGTGTAGTGTTCTGTCCCATCTAGTGGCACCGAGACCACTTATAATGAGTCTGCTCTACAGCCTTAGCTAATAGCCATATGGCTTTTAGCTCATGCAGTAGAGGCTCATGCATTTAACTCTGAAGTTCCCAGGTTTGATCCCACCCGCAAACAACTGGGGTCTGTCGGTGTTACATACACACAAGAAGCAGAATTTGCATGGGCAACCTTAACTCTGACATTTCCTGATTTTTGAATGTTTATCTATGAAATCTTAGCACTCCAATATATTTTTTGGCGTTTAATTATGCACATTTGACTTCCTGCACAACATCATCTTCCTTCCCACTTGGGTTAATAGAGTCTCTCTCTCTCTCTCTCTCTCTGCTTGACAGGATCTGAGAAGAGTCAGGGGATGTTAGCATTGGCCATGAGTCCAAATCGACGCTACCTGGCCATCTCTGAGATAGTGCAAGAGAAACCCACTATCACAATTTATGAATTGTCATCTGTCCCATGTAAAAAGCGGAAAGTACTTAGTGTCTTTGACTTCCCTGTTCAGGAATTTGTCAGCCTAGCCTTTTCTCCTGATTCTAAGTATCTGGTGGCCCAGACCGGACCACCCGAGTCAAACCTTGCCTATTGGATGTGGGAGAAGCAGAGAATGATGGCAATTGTCAAAGCCGACATCCAGAACAACCCTGTCTATCAGGTAACATTGGAGAAACTGCCTGGGCAGAGAAAAAATGCTGTCCTATAACTGGAACCCCCTTTTCTGGTAACCTCTGTTAGAGTACATAAGCATAACAAAATCACTGTCCTGTAAAAGAAACCATTTCTTCCAGTTGTCCCTGTATAAGCACACCAACACTACATTCACCTAACTGGGTGACATCCTGGGACAGATGAGAATAGAAACATTCTACACCAGATAATGTATAGTTTACATAAGCCAACTTTTTCTACGATAATTGAGGTTAGGCAACAACTTCTCCTCCTAAAAATGTCTCTATAATTTGTTTTTTAAAATTTTGTAAATAATAAAGTAATAAAGCATTTGTCAGAACAGTAGGCGAACCACTCAGACTATGTCAAAGAGGGGTAAAAACCCAAAAGGAAAAAAATAACTAGAGACAAAAGCCTCAAATAATCATCTGGTATGTCCCACATGTAAGCCTCCAAGCAAGGGGAAAAACTAACATAAAATCCCATAAAATAGTGATATTCTATATTTAGGAAAGATAAAATGGACAGAAGGGGGTGGTGGCACTCTACATCAAAGAGCCAATTACCTGCTTTAGAGTTATTGATATTTCAGAAGAACAGGACCTGGAAGGCTTATGGATAAATGTTCTAACATATTAAATCACAAGATGGGATATGGTGGGGATTCCTTATAGAGACCACATCAGACAAGGGACCAGGATAAGCAGCTCCTTAAACATTTATCTATAATGTTAGAAAGAAAAAATGCATTGTCATGGGGAATTTCATGCTGGAGGACATGCTGGAGGTCTCGTTTTACCTCTAGTAAAACATTCTTGGAGTTCTAAAAATAATAGATGCTGGCTTTCTAACACAAAAAGTAATTTTATATTAGATCTCATTCTGATGGATAAAGATGAACTAATCACTGACATAAAAATTGATGGTTGCTTGGGTGCAGGTGATTACTATCTAATTTCATTGGTTATGTGAAAACAATTCAATCCTAGCCAGCGATATAGATATACTTAGTGCTTTAAAATTGCCAATTTCTCAAACCTGAAAGCAACCATGAGCAAAACTGGGTGGAAGGGAAAAATGTGAATGATAATTGGGAGGTTTAAAATATGCTATATAAGATTCCCGCATATCCTCATACTACAATAATGAAATAAGTTTTAAAAAGAGGATAAGGGAAAACAGCAATGAAATATAAATTTACATATAATATATAACTGATGGGAAAATGGAGCAGTTTAGAACAATGAGTACAAATTTGAAATTAGGAAATGCAGACAATTGATAAGGAAAGCTAAAGAGATCAGCTAAGCTAAATCTTATATCTAATACTAGACAATGATAGTGAAATTGTCAGTCATGATGCAGAACAAGGAGAAGTATTCAATTAATATTTGTTATGTATTTGGAAAGAAGCAGGATGATGTATTCATATCTTACAGCAGTGGCACCTGAACCAGAGGGCGGGGCAGAGGGGCCATAGCCCTCACACTTTTTGAAACTGCTTAAATGTTGATAGAGATAGTTATAGGGTATTGTCCTGATTAGCAAAAAGTAGTACCAAATTTAGTGTAAAGGTGTATTTAGTTGCAAAGCAACATGGTTTAATGGTTATCAACCAATGAGAATCAATAAAAAGTACAAATTCAACACAAGATTAAAATTAATTATTTAAATCAGTTTCCTGAACCATAATAGGGTTCAAAAAGACCATAACAGGATTCAAAAAAGAACTAGATACATTCATGGAGGATAGGTCCATCAATGGCTATTAGCCAGGATGGGCATGAATGGTGTCCTTAGCCTCTGTTTGCCAGAAGCTGGGAATGAACGACAGGGGATGGATCACTTGATGATCAAAAGAAGACCTTGATGGGGCAGATTACACCACATCTACTTATTGTGGGGTTCTGGATTTGCCTCTGAGTCATCTGGTGTTGGTCACTGTCTGAGATAGGAGAGGATACTGAAGTAGATGAGCCATGTATGTTCCTGTGTGGAGAACAGATGAACTGTCTAGTTCAGGGGTGGGCAAACTACGGCCTGTGGGCTGATTCCAGTCTGTCCGACATTTTTATCCAGCCCTCGAGCTCCCGCCGAGGAGCGGGGTTGGGAGCTTGCCCCGCTCCGCCTGCCTGCCCGGCGCTCCCCAGCCCCTGACTCACAATTCCCTTGATGACAGGTTTCAGAGTAGCAGCCGTGTTAGTCTGTATCCGCAAAAAGAACAGGAGTACTTGTGGCACCTCAGAGACTAACAAATTTATTAGAGCATAAGCTTTCGTGGGCTACTGCCCACTTCTTCGGATGCATATAAAGTGGAACATATATTAAGGAGATATATATACACACATACAGAGAGCATGAACAGGTGGGAGTTGAATTCCCTTGATGAGCACCATCTTCTGGCATGCAGAGCCACACTGTGCAGGTGTGACTTCACCACACTGTTTCCGGGATTGGAACCCACCCCTACGTGGCAGCCCCGTGCCCCCATGTGGCAGCGTGCCAAATCCCCTCCTGGTCTCCTATGGCCCCACCCTCAAGAGCCTTGAAACTGCCCAGGGGCCGCACCCATCCCACCTAGGGTGCCTCCACCCGTGACAGTGCCGCGTATGGCCGCCTTGGTGTCACTGCCAGCAGGGCCCCTAGGAGTCCCCGGTACCACCCCTGTAGAGCCCCCCCATGCCGCACCCCAAGAGTTCCCTCTCTCCTCACCTCAGTAACATCACTTATAGAGCCCCCCCATGATACACCCCATAGAGTCCCCCTCCCTCACCAGGCATTCATGGCCTGCCATACAATTTCCATACACAGATGCATCCCTCAGGCCAAAAAGTTTGCCCACCCCAATCTGGTTGCATATGAAAGGATTTTGAAAAGTAAATGCAATACAAATATTTTTAAAAATTCAGAAACAAGAAAATGGAACTAATGTGATTGTTACACCACAACACAAAGTAATATTAGGATTTTATTTTGCATAAATTTCATCCTTACCTTACCTGCAGCCTGTTTTTTTGTTATTTTCTCTCCATCTGTTTTTGCTGATTTGGGCCTCAGTCTTGCAGTTTGATCCATGATGGATCCTGCCAGGTTTTAATTGGCATTAGAATCATGCATACCTACGGTGCTGTTAATAAAAATAATAATAATAAAAAAATAAATTTTGCGAGGGTGTTCAAGAAAAATATGTTTAAGAATTACCCTGAAATCTGTAATACTTACAAAAAGCTAACAAAAATCAACTTGCAAATATGGAATCATATTGCTTATCCTAAACTCTTTAGCAAGCTTGTGTAAAACATGAAATATCAGGGAGCATGGGAACTCTGTGACTCAAGAGCAGCAAGAGTTGACTGAAAACTCTTTGCTCTATGTCACAGGTGAGCTGGCCCTTTCATGGGCTTAGCACTCTGCCTCTTCAGTGTCAAGTTTAATTCACCTTCCCAGGTGAAGGGAATGTCAGCAGGGGTAATGTGATGGGAGTATGTGATTAGAAATCAGACCTGCTGGGAAATATAAGGGCAGCCTGAGTTCAGTCAGAAAGAGTGGCTGGCTGGCTGGCTAGCTGACTGGCTGGCAGGCAGGCAGGCAGCAGGTGATAACTCTTTAGGGTTCCTAAGTAGAAGGCCTGAGAGAGATCAAATTTTTTACAGGGACAATCCTGCACCAAGGATTGTGAGCCAGCTACAAAGATTGGGGGAAAGATTTGTGTTTTGAACTTTGTTAGTAAACTAGACACTTGGAGAGGGGAGGGTTATTGAGAGAGACAACTGCAATGTAAAGTCTGATTAACTGGGGAAGAAGGAGAAACTGAGGGTTAGGGTTCAGTGCAGGAGCCTAAGCCATTCTGGGTAAACCCTGCTATGAGCATTCCACAAAGGAATATCTCTTTCTGCTCCTCCACCTTTCAGCAGGATTAACAATAACTATGCAAATTAAAGAGCTACATTGTGTAGGAATAGCACTTCCTGGGACACACTGTCAATTAATAATCTCTCCATTCAGGGTTTCCAAGAAGCACACTACCCCACAGTTTTGCTGAGTAGTATATTTAATATACCAAATGGTAAATTGCTTTTCTCATCCTTACAGTTCCCTGTCTATTCTCTTCTTTGAGGAGAGATACCTCTGTGTCCTTTAAATCCCCCTCCTTTCTGTTAGCTTTCCAGTGCTGGTCACCTCTTTCTGCCCTCTGAGGGAGTAAAAATCCAGCAAAACTTTTAATTTAATAAAAAATAATTATGATACGTAAAAGCTATCTGTACAACTCAGAAAAGAGGAAAATGGAATATGCAGGATGTGCAAGTACAACAGTTTCTCTCTTCCTGTTGTAATCTTTGTCCTTCCCATACATTTCTGTGACTTTTTTTGTCATTCCTTGTGGTCCTGTATCTTATTTTGTAAGCTCTTTAGGGCAGGGGTCATGTCTCTTTATTTATTGGTAAAGTACTATGCATGAACATAGTTGTGTAAAAATAACTTCTCTCTTTTCTGCTTTCCAGGTGAGCTTCAATCCCCAGGATAACACCCAGGTTTGTATCACTGGAAATGGCATTTTTAAACTTTTCAGATACACTGAGGGAACCTTGAAACAGACCAACTTTCAGAGGGGAGAGCCTCAAAACTACTTGTCCCATGTCTGGCTCACCGAGGACAGGGTTATGGTCGGCACTGACACAGGCAAACTCTTTCTCTTTGAGTCTGGAGATCTGCGCTGGGAGACAAGTATAGAATGCAAAGAACCTCCCAGTGAAGTGGAAAAGGATGAGCTGGCACATGAATCTGAGAGGTAAATCTTCCTGGTTATTACTGATAGAGTAAATCTCATGGGTAAAGATCCTTCACAGCAGAAACTAGGTCCCTCAGGTGTTATTAGGGAAAGAATGAATGGAGGCTTTTCTATATTGACCTAATTGTGACTAGATTGGGTTTCTCTGGTTGTTGCTGATTGTAATAACTTTCTTCCTGTTTTAGCCTCATTGAATTTCCTACTGCCAGTTCCCCTGATCTCTCCAGTGAGATGCTCTGTGAAGCTGTTGGCCAACAGCAGGCTTCCTTCCCTCAAATCTCTGCCATTGCTGCTTATTCCAAAGGTTTTGCATGCTCAGCTGGGCCAGGAGTTGTTCTACTGTTTGAGAAGACTGAAGAGAAGGAAGGTTACAGGGAGAACCGAGAAATCCGGGTAGGTGCGAGACTGTGAATGGGGCAGAAGGGGCTTCTCCAAGCAGCTAAGAGGCTGCAGTTCTCAGACTTTAGCTGTTTCAGTTTAAGAGCCCTTTTGTTTTACATCTGCTCCAGGTAATAATAATACTCAATACTTCTATAGTGATCTTCATCTTTCAATCGCTCTACAGACATTAATCCTCACCGTTCCATAAGAGGTTGGTCAGCATTTATAGAAGGGGAAGTGACTTATCCAAGGTCACACAGAGAATTAATGACAGTCATTCTCCTTCAAGGTAGCCTCTGCATAGTCCTGCTTTTGGGACTGGCCTCCATGGCATCACCGAGTTTCAGGAACCGTCTAAGAAACCTGTGTGCCCTGGGACTATATAAACATTCAGAGCCAAGGTTATGAGGAGGGCATGCATTCCCAACCACCTCAGTTCCTTTCTTTTCACAGCTAGCTGCAGATCTTTGTTTTTTTTCCAGAGTTTTTGCTTATTATTTAAAGCTGTATTAGATATAGGTAGTCTTACTAGATCCTGGGCTATTGGGGATTCCAGTTCTTAAGATGATTCTGACTGGTCATGTCCAACTCAGAGCAAAAGACTGGGTATATGTTGTGTTTCCTACCCCACATATCCACTAATTTATGTACCACACAGAAGTCTGTTTACCTGGACCAATTTTCACTGTATCAGGCCTTTATATCTTCTGTCTGAAAGGACAGACATACTCTGCTTTTGGCCTTCCTTATGTAGAAGGCCTTACAAGCTAGATCGTTGGGACAAGGCCGCATTCCGGTGTAGGAAATCAGTATGTCTTCATCAGCTTCCAAGTCCCCTAAAGTTCGGAAATGGAAGCCTTTGATGACAGGATCAGCATCTTCATTCAGCCCCAAGTCAGAGGATCTTCTGAAGCCTGGTTCTAGCTATTCTTGTGTGGGAATGGCTTGCTTCATCCTCAGAGTCTGCTGATCATGGGGTTCCCTCTGTCCCCAGACTTTGCTGCTGCCTCTGGATAGTGCTGTAACTGTGGCTTCCTTCATACTGAAGACTGTCTTGGCACCAGAGAAGCCTGTTGTAATCTACATAGGTTCTTACGTTGTGTTCATCAGTGTAGTATCTGAATGCCTTCCAGTAGTGCTTTAAGTAACATGACTAACATTTGTCATCTTTTCCCTGTGGGGGGAGGAGGGAAGTGTGTGCAGTGGAGTGTTTTGTTTTGGTAGGATTTTTAAAATATATACATGTTGCTATGTATGTGTGTCACAGGCTGGCTGGTCCTTTAAGGGGAGTTGGTCTCAGTTTCACCTGTGAAAGATGTTACCTCCCAACTGATCCTGATTGACTGGGAATCAGGTGACTCCATTCAATTATCAGACCCAGCTGGGGGAGAGTTGGATGATTCCATAAAGGGGTGGGAGAAATAAGATGGGGAGGAAAGCTGTAGGAGGGAGGTTGTTTCCTGTGACTGGGCCTGAAAGGAAAGGATAGCAGTGGAGAAGTAATCTTCTATGACAGGCTTGGGAAAAGCTAGCCTCCAAGCAAATAGCCTGAAGGTAGTCTGGGAATAAGGATCCAGCCTGGGGAGAACCAGATTGGGGGAATGACTTCAGGGAAGAAGCCCTCAGAGTAAGTGACTTTGGTAGGATCCATGTCTCCGGGGAGAAAGTCCAGAGAGTTATCACTTTCTGAGTGAGTGGGATGGAAGGGTAGCCCAGGGTGGGGGGTCTTGATTCTGTCTCGCAAGGATTCCCAGGCCAGAGGGGATCACTGTGATCATGTAATCTGACCTCCTGTATAACACAGGCAATAAAACTTCCCCAAAATAATTCCTAGAGCAGGGGTGGGCAAATTTTTGGCCCAAGGGCCACATCGGGGTTGCGCAACTGTATGGAGGGCTGGGTAGAGAAGGCTGTGCTACCCCAAACAGCCTGGCCCCCACCCCCTATCCGCCCCCTCACTGCTCCCCTCAGAACCCCCAACCTATCCAACCCCCCCACTCCTTGTCCCCTGACTGCCCCCTCCCGGGACCC